CCACCACCCCATTCACTATGGTAAGATTTTTTTGTTCTGATGATGCCTGATACCTGATCTGTTCGACACCTTGTGATCGCAGAGGCTGGTATGCTTCTTCCATGTGCGCTTTGTTGCTTCTGAGCTAGATGGCTGCTTGTATACCTTCAAGCCTTTAAGACCCCAGATGCTATATCTTTTGCTAGCCGGGCATCATCAGCTTTCTTCGCCACATTTGCTTATGCACCCATTTGTCTTCAGCGATGTTATCATGGAGGTGAGCACACAATGATATGATTTTTTGTTCTTTGATGACTGATAACTGATCCCTTCGGCACCTCGTGATCACACAGGCTGGTGTGCTTCTTCCATGTGGGCTTTGTTGCTTCTGAGCTAGATAGCCGCTTGTTTACCTTTAAGCCTTTAAAACCCCAGACGCTATATTTTTTGATAATGGCTGTGTTTCCTTTACGGCAGACATGCTGGCAATGAAATTCTTGACAATTTCAACCTTTCCTTGAAGATCAAAATTAAGTGTTAAGAAATTCCCATTCTTACCTATGTTATCCATGCTTTCTAAAACTCCACACTGCCATAGGACTTTACATAGTCAATAAAACGCAGGCAAATATCTTTCTGGTATTTTCTACTCTCAGCCAAGACCCATGTGATGTCAGCAACACTTTGTCCCAGGTCTTCTGAACCGGGCTTGCATTTCCAGCAGCTCCCTGTTCATGTACTGCTGCAGCCATTGGAAGTAATTTTTAGCTTGCGGGAGGAGACGAGCCAGTCAGGGTGCAGTGTAGCAATGATGAAAAATACAACTTTCCTCTAGTTCCTAAATGCTTCCTCCTCCACCACTATCATGATCACAGTTCTACCTTACAAATCTGGCTGGACCAGAGGGTGTACACTACACTGGTACAGATAGGAACCAGAAACACAGGGGATTCAGGACGACGATCCCTTCAGGACCAGTGGTGAGAGTGGCGATACCAGGAGGGTGGAAGGAGGGTGGGGTGCAAAAAGGGGACCGATGACAAGGATCTACATGTGACCTCCTCCCTGGGGGACAGACAACAGAAAAGTAGGTGAAGGGAGATGTCGGACAGTGTAAGATATGACAAAATAATAATTTGTGAATTATCAAGGGTTCATGAGGGAGGCGAGAGTGGGAGGGGGAAAAATGAGGAGCTGATGCCAGGGGCTTATGTGGAGAGCAAATGTTTTGAGACTGATAAGGGCAAATGTATAAATGTGCTTTATATAAGTGATGTATGTATAGATTGTGATGAGTTGTATGAGCCCCCAATAAAATGATTAAAAATTAAATAAATAAAATAAAAATAATCTTCAGCAACATACTTGCATAATTATAAAAAACAGCAACACTGTTTCTCACTTAGAGAAACCCTATACAGGATTTCTGAGACTAAAACATATGGGAGCAGATGAAGCTGATGGGTTTGAACCACTGACCTTAGAAGTAGCAGCCCAATACCTGTCCAACAGCGCCACCAGGGCTCCTTTGCATGTGATATTATCAATTTCTGTATTTTGTTGCATCACTTCTCTTTGAAATTGGCCCAAATATGGTTCTTTTACAATCGGTTGGCCAAGTAGGTGTCTTCCAGATTTCTTAGCACCTCCTGGGGTATACCCAACTGTTGGAACATTTCCGCAGGTGTTCTATCAATTACTGGAGGCTGGTTGTGGTTTGTTTTTGCCAAAACAATGCATTCAGTGCAACCAAAAGAGCCCTGGTGGGATAGTGAGTGACACATTGGGCTACTAACCGCAAGGTCAACAGTTCAAATCCACTAGCCATGCTTCAGGAGAAAGGTGAGGCTTTCTTCTCCCCTAAGATTTACAGCCTCAGAAACCCACAGTAGAGCAGTTTTTGCCTGTCCTGTTGGGCTGCTGTGGGCTGAGAACAGCGTGGTGGCGGGGTGTGTGCCGCGGTCCAGTGCAGAACGGCCTTCCCCTTTAATCCCATCAGACTTGACCCTGTGCTGCTTGTGACCTCCTGAAACGGCTGCACGCCAAACGATTACTTAGTGTGCAAAACTGTGTATTTCATCTTCTCTAGTTGCTTCCTGGATCGTTCACTATTTTGCCCTTAAGGATCCTTTAATATTTCAACAGTGGGCTTGAATTCTTTATTCAGTTCTTTGGGTAATACTGTGTCCTTCCTGTCTGGCTTTTAAACCTTGGATCTTTGCACACTTCATTATAAGGCTTTACTTGGTTTTCTTGAGCCTCCCTTTGAAAATATCTGACTTCACCCTTTCTTCCATCCCCTGGAGCACATTAGTCTGTGTGTCGTCCGTGGTGGCTTGAGTACGGCTGTGGTGCTGAAAGCCACGCCACTGGTATTTCAAATGTCAACAGGGTCACCCGTGATGCACACATTTCAGCAGAGCTTCCAAGCCCTGAGGGCACAGAGGTTACATGTAACTACACAGTCAGCGATTCCAGCCCATCAGCTATTCCGAGGGAGGAAGGAGAAGAGGCTGTTCTTGTCAAGATTTACAGTCTTGGATACCCAACGGCACAGCTAACTCTGTCCTGCAGGTCACGGGACTGGGAATTGACCCAGTGGCAGTGGCTTTGGGTTTTCTAACCTAAGACAGAACTCTCACAGCTGGACCAGTAAACAACATCACGATGGATGGAGAAATGATTGAAGTTAAATACTTCCTTTTACTTGTACCCAATCAATGCTCATGGATGCAGCAGTCAAGAAGTCAAATGAAAGAAAGAAAAGTCAAATGATGGATATATTGCATCGTGGAAATCTGCTGCAGAAGACCTTAAAGTGTTCAAGAGCAAAGATGTGCCTTGGAAGACTAAGGTGCGTCTGAACCAATCATGGCATTTTCAATCGCTTCAACAGCGTGAACGTCTGCTCTTGCCAGCGCTGTGTGAGCCCAGAATGGAGCGTAGGCAGCCCTCAAGCCACAGCCACAGCCAGCCTGGGCCTCACCGCTGTTTATCCCCCTGGGGGCTCCTGCCCACCTTACCTGTAGATCGCACGCCCGGCCTCCACCTCCATCCAGTCTAGTGCAAAGTCGATCTGCCTCACAAAGGAGGACATGCGCTTCACGACCGTGTGTGCGACGCCCAGGACAACAGTCGGCTGCTTCCGCATGATCCTGCAGGCCAGGGAACCTGGGTCCAGGCCCATAGCAACCGAGCCCCTCACCCCATCGTCTGGCTTCCCCGCAGAGCCGCCTGAGAGCAGGCGAGGGGGGGGCTCTATACCCGGGGGGACAGCTCTGGGCCCTCTTCCAGAAACCTGACAGACACACACCAGCAGCCACCTATTCCCACCTCCCTGCCCCTGCCTCCATACAAGCTGCGAGGCACCCACCCCCCGCAGGGAGAGGCAGGCACTAGAGGGAAGTGAGGGTGGAGAGCAGGGGACGGGCGTGAGGTGGGACTGCAGACTTGGGCAGGACAAGCAGCAGAGGCACCTGGGTGACGACAGGCATAGGACCACCACACAGGCCTGTCTGGCCCACATATCAGACCACTGCTGGGGCTGGGGGCCAACAGAAGCCCAGGCCCAGGGGTAAGCAGAGAAAAAGCTGCTCCTGGGTAGGCTGGAGGGAGGCTGAGGGAGGTGGCATCACTGGTAACTGACGTGCTAAGGGGTCAAGGGAGCACTGCCTGAAAGTCAGACACCCCAGGGGGCGGGGGGAGCCCAGACTCAGGGCAGGTGCCAAGGGATGTGGGTGGGAGGGCAGGGCACTGAGAAGTGTAGCAGGCAGGGCACAAGTAGATAGGAGGGCAGGGTGCAGGAAGGGGCAGGAGCCAGTTACCCTGAGGTGCTGCACTGCAGGCCCAGGGGACTGCAGGACCTCAGAAATGAGCCCAACATGATCCCCAAAGGGTAAGCCAGGCCCGAGAGCAAGGACGAAGCAAGGCTGCACACCATCTGATGGCCCAGCCCACCTGTCCGCAGGCGTGCACACGCACTGTCACACACATGCCATGCACAGCACACATGTACACACATCAATATGCTGCACATTATCTGTGCTGTCACATGCACACCACACACATCATGCAGGAACACACATGCTAATATGCTGTCATACCTTCCTGCTGACACACATTTCACTCATTATACACACACACACCTGTATACACACTAATATGCTGTCACACATGCCTGCCACATGACACCACGCACATGCATGTGCAAATACACATGCCACTGTGCACATGCCACACACATTATACATGCGTACACGCTAATGTGGTGCTGCATTCCTGTCACACACATACATGTGCACACATGCATGCTGTCACCACATGCATGCCGTCATGGAGGTGCCACACACACCATACGCACACACTTATACACACGCTAATATGCTGCCACACAAACCACGCACATCCATATATGCGCACACCTACTACACACACACACTAACATGCTGTCACACCACACGTCATACACTCACACATGCTGCCCTGCTTCCTGTCACACACATGCAAATGCACACACATTCACGCCATTGCGTACAGCCCACGTGCATCAAGCACACGCACACGCGTGGTCCCCGCGGGTGGCAGAGGGCTCACTCATAGAAGTGGCTCTTGGCGATGGAGAGGAAGCAGCAGTCCCTGTTGGCCTTGATGGTGAAGATGAGGGGCTCGCCCGTGAGCACGGCGAGCTGGCCCACCATCTCCCCTGGGTGCGTCAGGAACAGGCAGGTCTCCTCCTGGCTGTCGATCTTGCGCTGGTACACGTGCAGCAGCCCCGACACCACGAACAGGATGTTGACATCCTGGGAAGGCAGGAGCATGTCAGGCAGGATGGCCAGCCCCCGTGCTGCCTGTGCCCTGTGCCAGCCATCCCCTCATCCTACCTGTCCGAGTCACCTGCCCCCTGCTGCATCACCCATCACACGTGCCAGGTACACCCTCTGGCCTTCCCCTGCCTCCTGCTCACAGAGCCCTGGCCCTTGCTGGCACTGCCCTATCTGCCTGCCTTCTGGTTGCTCCCCCGCCCCCCAGGGGAACCAAGAAAGGGCAGAGTTTTGTTGCTACAGTGTCCTTGGTCCCCCAACCCTGCCTCTTCCCCCGCCTGATCCCCAGCACAATGTGCCCAGACAGGGCAGCACACACAGCCCCAAGTCTGCAGGGCTGGCCTCTGATGGCCTGGCCTGGTGTGACACACCCAGGAGAGGTGACAGTAAATGACCGCTGTCAGGGGTACCAGAGGCTCCATTGGAACCCCCTGGGCTTCAGCTCCCACATCTTGGCAGAGTGGCGCTAGCCAACTTGCCCCAGGGACAGAGGCCGTGGTCACCATGCAGGATCCAAAGCTTCAGACACACCTGGTCGCCCTGCCTGGACACCACAGTGCCTGCCGGCACGTGGAGAAGCGTCACTCGGCCATCCAGCAGGGAGGGGTCCTGAGATACAGAAGCAGGGAGGTGGTAGGCAGCCAGCCAGGAGCCACAAGACCATGTGAGCTTGCCCATCATGGGCCACTCACAGCTGGCACCGGGGTGGGGGCGTCAGAGGGACAGAACATACTCAGCCTGAGCCAGAAGCACTGTCCCAAGAGAAAGGTGGGCAAGGCCTTAGGAGCCCCAACCCTCGGAGAAGGCCGGGGCACAGAGGAAGAAAACCTGGCAGTGGGCAGAGGTCCCACCAAAGCAAGCCAGACGAGGGGGAGCCCTGCCTCACCCTGCTCTCCCACCACTCCGCTGCCTACCCACCCCCATGCCCCCTCACATCCAGCTTCATCAGTGTAAGCAGGTCCTTCTTTGCGGCCCTGAAGATGGCATCTGTCTTCCTGCTGGTCATGGCCTCGTCCGAGTGGCTCTGAGAGTAGCGGAAGATGGCAGACGGGGTCTCCGACACGAACACACTCTTCTTGGACTGGAGAGGACAGGGTACCGGCATCAGAAGGCTGGCCCAGGGCCTGCGGTCTCGGCCTGGTCAAGAGGGGCTGGCCTCCTGACCTTGAGGAAGGACCAGTAGGACCCACCTTGCCAGCTGCCCAGCTCCCAGCGTGCTCGTCGGTGGGTGGGGAGGTGCGAGCGTGGCAGCAGGCTGTCTGCAGGTCCGAGCTGGTCTCCACTGAGCTACCTAGAAGAGGAGGGGGCACTCAGGGCACCCACTCCCACTCCAGGACCTGGGAGTCCAGGAGAGAGCCACAGAGGGACACTGAGGACCCCTCACAGGTCCATCCAAACTCAGGGTGGCCCAGGGGCTGGTGCCCCCCAAGTGCCCAGCTGCCTTCTCTGAAGACCCTGCTCATTCGTCCACCTCCTTGGCCACAGATGCCAGGTCTGCACAGTGCAGGCATCAGGAGAACGCAGCCAGGCCTTGGCCACCCATGTGCCCAGCTGCTGCCTTGGAAGGCCTTGCTTGGACGTCCACTCCTCAACCACAGACAGGAGGTCTGCACCGCATGGGGCCAGGGGCTGGAAGGTAGGCACTGCGGATGCAGGTGAGTGTCAGGCAAGACACTGAGGGAGGTGCCAAATGATCTGGGCACCTGGCAGGCCTCCCACTGACCAGAACAGTCTGACCAGAGAGAGGGCGGCCGGGCAGCCAGGCAGGAGAGACCCAGGCTAGCTGGACCTGGGTCAGCCACCTGGGGAGCACACCTGCTGTGTTCATAAAGCTGTCACCAGGCACGAGTGCCTCCATACCAGCCAGCCTATGGGACGAGGTCAGGGCCAGCTCCCAGGGGCCTGGCCTGCCTGCCCCAGGCGCCCAAGATGATGGGCCCGAGGGCTCATACAGCCGAGGGGCACATCAGTGTGTGCAGCACCACCAGGCTTGTTTCGGACTGAACCGTGTCCCCGGCATGTGTGCACTTGACTGGGCCGTGACTCTCAGGACCCCGTCCTTGGTCTGATGTCATTGTCTGTGTTGTAATTCCTCCCTCACTGAGGCGAATGAGGCAGGATTAGGCACGTTAGGATAATGAGGCAGGATGTACTACGTAATCTACAGGATGAGGGCTCAGCTTGAGTCAGTTTTAACTTGAGATAAAAAGTAAACCACATGTGATGTCACGTCGAACCACAAAGAAAGAGGAGCCAGAGTGGAGTCCAGCCTTTGGACCCAGACTCCCCAAGCGGAGAGCCTCCTAGACCCGGTTGAGAGTGAAGCCAAGGCACATGGGCATTGCACACAGACCTGGCAGGAGAGCAGGGAGAGAGGGTACCACCTGACTGGCTGCACACATGCTCAGGAGCTGGTGGGAGGCCAGCCTCAGAGACCAACAGGCATCTGTGGGGTCCTGACGTACCTGGCTGTGACGGTTGACTGTGTGCCCCAAATGTGGTACAAACCCTGACCTCCATGCCTGTGGTTACCATCCCCTGCCTGCAGCTGGGCCCTGAACAGATCTCTTCTGAGACAGCAAGAGATCGCTAAGGAGCCAGGAAGCAAGGTGAGGCGATGAGGATGCCCAACCAGACTGGACTGGAGCAGGGCCTCACACAGCAGCTCAGCAGGGGACCCATGGAGGAGGGAGGGGTCCAGACGCAGTGCAGGCCCGTCCCTCGGGGCCTTGGGCTCCTTTCCACACCACACAGTGCCATACTGGCCTCCATGGGTTGCCTGGCCAGTGGGGTACCCCCGACATACCCCGACAGGACCGTACCTGATGGGGCCCCAGGGTTGGGGCCACTCGCTGGGGCCTCTCGGAGCTCATCACAGACAGGAACTTCAGCCTCCTGGGGGGTCGACGGCAGTGGGACAGACAGGCTCCTTCGCAGCAGAGGCCCCGAACTCCCCGAGCAGGCACTCCCTCTGTCTGGGACCGGGTGGGGGGGTGTACCCAAGTAAGCCAGCTATGCTGTAGGGGCGTGCAACTCCAGGGGTTCAGGGTGTGGCTGGAGAAGCTCCACTCTCCAGGGTATCCCACCCCCGAGGCCACAGGGCCGAGGGTCACAAGGCCCAGGCACACCTGGGTGGGAGGGCTCTCTCAGAGGTTTCTCACGCCGCTCATCCAGGCTCCCGGACATCTGCCTCTTGGCCACACTGGCCACGGACACAAGTGGAATAGCCTGGCTCTCCTGAGGGGGAAAGGAGGGTCAGCAGGCCAGGGCTCTGTGGTGGCCAGGGCTTCTTGAGACTTAGGGCAGCCTTGCAGGAGCTGGATGCTCCACTGTCCTCCGTGACAGGGACAGCCGTGGAGGGAGATCCTGGTGGCCCAGGCCCAGTTGCTGGCTGAGGGCACGCTGGAAGTCCTGACCAGGGGCATGCTGAGGGCCGTGTGCTTGGTCAGCGCCTTGCTCCCGTCACAGGGCTTTGCTGGCAGGACTCAGTCGCTGGTGGAGGCTGTGGGTCAGGCTGCCCTCTGCGAGAGCCAGCCCTAGCTCCGCCCACGCCAACTGAGCACCATTGGCAGCTTTGGTGCTGGCTCAGCTCTGTCCTGCTCGGTGGCCACAGGAGGACAGGGGCAGGAACTGGCACCACATGCTGGCAGGAGGGCGGATGTGTGGAAGGAGGAGCCACCAACGAGTGCCACAGCCCAGGGGCGGTGACAGGAGCCCCTTGGAAGGCTCCCATACCTGCTCTGCTCTCCTGGCATGGGCGAGGCCAGGCAGTGTGCACACAACAAACCCAGCGCAGGTGGTACACATGCTGGGAAGAATAAGCTGAGCAAGATGCTCACCTTGCTCACAGCTCACGTCAGTGCGTGACCTGAGCACTCAGCTCCGGGCGGACAGCACTTACGGGGTTGAACAGCTCCGTGGTCAGGCCCAGGTAGTTGTGCAGTGCCATGAAGGTCACCCGCTGCAGCCGCACCATGATGATCTGAGGAGAGCGGCCACTCAGCAGCAGCACCTGGCTGAACAGCCAGCCTGACGCTAAAGCGAGTGGAACACCTGGCACCAGAGCCGTCCATCTGACCCTCCCCCAGTGCGACACTTCATAAGAAAGGATCTTCTTTGGGGGGAGGAGAGCTGATCTGCTCTGCCTAGTGAGGGCCGACTGGCTTTTTACTGTAAAATGTAACTGAAGTGAAAACAGCCAAGGGCCCTCCCTCCCAGTCCCCTAGACCCTGCTCCCCAAACCCTCCGCCCACCTGGGGCTGGGGCCTCCCTCTAGGGACCCCATCCACCCAGCACTGGGCAGGGCAGAGCCCCATGGCATGCAGACCCTGCAGTCTCCGAGGCCGCCCACCCTGCAGCACCCACCTGCACCACCCGCACCAGGGTCTCGGGGTACTTCTCAAAGACACCCTCCAGCGCCTCGGCTGGCAGTCGGAGGATGGTGGAGGGGGCAGCTGCACGAGCCGAGACTGTCTTGTATGCGGCAGGGTGACCCTGTGACAAAAGGCCCCATTAGTCACCATGGGCCACTCACAGGCCCCCCTTCCTGCCACCTGGGTCCTAGATGGGCAAGCCTCCAGCCCTGCCTCCAGGGGCGCAGGCCCCAAAGCACCAGGACCTCCTCAAGCCAGGCAAGCAGAGCTTCGGCAAGTAGTGCCCTCTCCCCGGGCCAGCGCCCCAAGTTCCCAGTGATGCTGAGTGAACCTCCAGCTGGGCCTGAGGAGGTGCCAGAGAGAAGCCTGGGATGTGAGGTGGGTCGGGGGCAGGGGGGGGGGTGCCCATATCTGCTAGGCTGTGGGATTTCCGGCTGGCGTCCTGGGTGGCTGAGCTCTCGACGTCCTGTACTGCCTGTGGTGGGACAGACAGACTTTCATCCTCCAGTGGTGTCCGTCAGAGACTTCTTACTTTGTGGTGTCCGGTTTATGAGGTTTTAAGGGGCCCCGGGGGTGCCCTGGGTCCTTTCTGCACTGTGCTGCTGGCCACTCTGCAGAAGCACGAGCTCAACTGCCCGTAATATGTGCAGCCCTGGAAATCCCAAGGAGTTGGCGGGGCAGGTCGCTGAGTGGGCGCTGACGGGGTGGCAGTGAGCATAGCAGTGAGCCATCATGCTAACCAAGCAGGGCTTGCTTCATCCACCGGGCATCTGAGGTTTTCCTACAGCAGCCCTGGTGGCAGAGTGCTTATGTGTTTGTTACAAACCACAAAGGTTAGCAGTACAAAAGCGGCAGCCATTCCACGGGCGAGACTAAGCCTTTCCTCCTGTACAGAGTTCTAGTCTCAGAAACCCCAGGGTAGGCCCCCACCCCCACCCCCTGCCCTATCGGGCCACTGTGAGAGGGCACTGACTGGACGGCAGGGGGTTGGGGTAGGGTTTGAGAGAGCTTCCTCCTTCTAGGCTCCCTGTGGAGACCCTTGTCCACGCTGAGCTGAGCGTGAGGCCTGGCTGGGGTGAGGGCCATTCCTTTGGCATGCAGCCATCCACAGGTCCCAGCACCATCTGTTGAAAAGGTCACCCTTTCTCATGAACTGCCTTGGCACCACAGTCAGAAGCCGGCTGACTCTGCCTGCGTCTATTTCCAGGCTGCAGTGAAGCGGGAGCAGGGACACCTCCGCGGGCAGTCAGCGGTGTTCATGAGTCACTGGCTTCCGCCCCTCTGCCGGCCTGTCTCTCCCAGAACAAAGCCCGCTGAGACCCTGACTGGAGTTCTGTCAGACCATTTGGGGAGAACGGCAGACACCACTTGGCATCTTCCTGTCCCCGAATAACTTTGATTTCTTTCATCGGTGAAGAGGCATCTTCAGACAGAGGTCCTGCACATACTTTATTGGATGATTTCATGTCTTTGGTGTTAATGTGAATGCTACTGTTTCTAATGTTTACATTTCCAGAAATACAACTGGTTCTTCCACATTAACTCTGTATTCTTATGGACCACTCCTAAGTCCGAGTAGCTTTCCTATGGAGCCCATGAGCTTTTCCACGTAATCACGTGGTTTGCAAATGAAGAGAGGTGAGCAGAAACTTGCTTCCTGCAAGAATTTTCCTTCAAACCCCAAATTGTTCTAAACATGAAGGTTATTATATAAAAATTAAGCTAATTTTTTAAAAAATTCGACTGGGGGCATTTCCTCCTCTTCACTTTTCTGGAAGTCTGTGCAAATGTTGGCTAGCATTTCGTAGGGCCGCCCGGTAGTCTGAGAGCTTCCTGGCCGGTGGAGGTGTGGCCTCCCTGGAGAGGTCGGCAGATCACCTGTTTCTCTTGAGTAGCGGTGGTCCTGTGTTTTCCAGGGAACCTGCTCATCGCTTCAGAGAGGTTCCTGGGGCTTTACATCTGCAATACTCTCTGTGAGGCTTTTGATGTCGGTAGGGTCTATCAACGTGGGTAGTTTTTGTCCTCCTCCTTTTTTGCTTCACTTGTCTAGCTAGAGAATTATCCATTTTCTTGATAATTTAACTTATTTTCCCCAATTTGGTGTTCTATTTCCAATTTCACTGGCTTTGGCCGCCCCACCCCCACCCCTTGTTCGTTTCCTTTTTGCTGAAAGACAGCAGATGCCCAGCTCTTCTTGACGCACCGGCCCGGCTGGGCTGTCACCCCCCTACCGCCCGCCCGCTCCGGCACAAGAGTCCCTCCTGCCAATGCCAAGCTTGATCAAGTCCCTGTAAGGGGCCCACCCTCCTAGCAGGGCAGGGGCTGAACCAGGCCACAGGCCGGGACTCACTGTGATGATGTCCAAGATGCTGAGGAGGCTATGGACACTGTCTCCCGCCAGGACCTCCTTGACCACCACCTCAGTGCCGTCCTGGGGGTGGGCAGCAGAAGGGGGCCATCTGTCCATCTGCCCAGGCCATTGCAGGCTCAGCCTCAGGCCCCCAGTGCTGAGGAAGCAAGCACCTCCCACTGGCCACCCTCCTCGGGGGCTGGAGGACAAAATAGGCGGGTAACCACCCCCTCCAGCCCCCTGCCCCACCCCATCAGCATCTCAGCCACAGCTGCCTTTCCAGGACGGACTCAACTTCAAGCTCAAAACACCCAGTTAGCTAGATAATAGAAATTCCATTATCTTTTCATTCCATGTTCCCACAAACGTTCCCCTTGTGTAAGTACCAGCATTTAGAGAGCCCCCTGTTGGCAAGGAGAGAGTATGTAAAGACCCCAGCCCAGCCTCTTAGGACGTGTCCCACCTCAGCACCAGGTGCCTTATACTCTGTCTCCCGTCTTGGGCTGCAGCAGGCCTCAGAGCCTCCTCCGTGGCTCCCACTCCCCAGCCCGATGGGGCCTGGGGTTCAAAGGTGGGACTCAAACTCTACTCAGAAAGGAGCTTGGGTTCAGAAACCCAAGATGGGGTAGCAGTCCCCCTGTGACCCTCACACCTGGGCAGCCTGAGCTAAGGTGGAGACTCAGGCACAGGAGGTGGGCTCACATACCACCACGACCCCCTGGGGAGCTGGAGGGGGCCACATTCAGATGACAGAGCAGAGGCGAGCACCCAGCTTCCTGGCGACTGCCCTCGAAATGAGGGGGGTTGTGAGCAGAGGGCTGAGGGCAGCACACAGGGCTCCGTGCGTCGGGTGAGTCAGGGACTGCAGGTGCTTGGACTGCAGGTGCTGGGCCAGCAGGCCAGGACTTTCAGTGTGAGCGAGGATGGCGGCTGAGGGTGCAGGTCTTCTGAGAGCAGCCTGCTGGGGGGCTCACCGTGTCCTGCACGCAGACCTCCAGCCGCCCGTCCTGCACCACGTACACGCTGTTATCCGGGTCCCCTGGCCGAAACATGTGCTCCCCCTCACGCAGTGTCATGAACACCATGTGCTTACACAGTTCCAGAAACAGCGGCTTCTCAAAGTGGCCCAGGACCCTGGGAAGGGGCAGAGGGAGGGCTGGCCGGCCGGGACGGCAGTGCTCACCACTGGGTTCTGCTCCCAGCCTGCCCCAGGCTCGCCCCCACCCCTGCCCTGGCCCTGGGGGCGGCGCCCCTACCGAACATTCTTCAGCATGTACAGGACCTCAGAGGGCAGGTGCGAGCTCTTGACGTCAAACTCCGTCAGGTCGGCCTCCAGCAGGGAGGGCGGGGGCTCCTTGGGCTGCAGTGTCGGGTATTCCTTCTTGAATCGCAGGATCCTCCGGGCAGAAAGGCCACCTTGAGGCCCGGGGCAGGGGAGGTCCCCACTGCAGCAGCCTCCTGCCCAGCCCACCCAGTCCCTTCCTGTACCTTCTGGCCAGGGACAGCACCTTGGCTCTCTTCCTCACCCGCTGCCGGGGTGCAGCACTGCTCCCCACAAGCGTGTTGGGGAGGGTGGTCACCTACAGGGCACAGACGACACCCAGAGAAGCACTGGGCCTAGGCAGAGGCCTCACCCTAAGGGATCCTAAGGGATGCCCAGTGGTGCCACCACCTCCCAGCCCAGGTGCCCAGGATGGGGGTCAAGGATCATCTGACAGCTACTGAGGATGGTGGGAGCCAGAGCAGCCCTAGCCAGCACCTGCTCAGAGTGGCACCAAGCCCTCAGTTGCCCAACTCCCACTCCTGTATTGCTCCTGCCACGGCCCCTGTCCTTGACTCCCACCCCTCCGCTAGATTCCACCCTTGCACTACTCTGACCACAGCCCCTCCCGAGTCAGTCAGGGGCCCCTCCTCAGAGCCTGCTTCACAGGGCCCCTGCCCTCTACTCTCAAGGGTTATTTGAGAACCTGCACTCAGCCACTTGCCCAGAACACTGGCTGCCCGCCTCTCACTGTGGTTGTAAGACTGGGCAGGCAATGGATCCCCCAAGCCCTGCCTGCCCTGGAGCCACAAGGCTGAGTGGGCAGCGAGGCCTTTACCTTCCTCATGATCTTGCGGCCGTAGAACATCACCTTGTCCCTCTTGCGAAATCTGTACTGCGGAGCAGCAGGCTGCGGCTGCCCTGGGGGGAGCGCGAGGCAGGCCTCAGCCAGAAAGGCCCTACACAGGCTACTCCATCTGCAGAAGCCACCCTGGGTCCCATCCTTGCTGGCTGCTCTACTCACGAGCCTGCTTCACCCTTCGGTACACGACAAAGGTGCCACAGCCAATGAGGAGCAGTGCAGCCCCGATCACAAGTCCAATGAGCTGGTGAGAGGCCGGGGGAGGGCAGGTCAGCAAGGCTCCATGGATGCAGATCCCAGTGACCCAGGTGCCCATCCCTGAGGTGCTGGGTGGTCTCACCAAAGTGGACTGCAAGTTCTCCATGGTGTGCTGCAGCCCCCAGTGGTGTAGGGTGGGGCCCAGACAGACATGACCCTGGAGCAGAGACAAAGAAGCCAGGGTCAGGGCTGAGAAGGGGGCAGACTTGTCATTTGGATACTGGTAGAAACCCACCCAGGTGGGTAGGGCTAGCCTGCAAATGGCCCCAAAGCTCCCTAGAGCTCCTCTGCTCACCCAATGGCTAGAGCAGAGACCCACCTCTCCACTGGCAGTGCAGTGACACAGGGTGGTGGTGATGAGCCACTACCAACCCTAGGGACACCACTGCCTTGGCAGCCCCTCCCTGGTGGCGTTGGCCAGCCTGCTGCCCCCAACACAGTCCCTGGGCCGTTTGGTGTCAAGCCCTCAGACAGTGTCAGGAGGTGTGGTCAGCACACAGGTCAGGGGCCTGGTCAGGCAGCGAGAAGAGAGTGCACAGCAGGAAGGAAGTCAGCAGTCTTGCGGGGACCCTGGGGCCCTCTAGGTCCACCTCCTATGCGCCCCTCCCCCCACCAACAGCCCCAAGTCTGACTTCGAGTGAGGGGCCCCCAGGACCCAGGCACGCAGGTAGGGCAGTAATGGACAGACTGGGGGGTGGGGGTGGGGACAGATCTCCAAGAAGATTAAGAAGAGCCCCGTCCCTCTGTTAGCCACCCAGCTCCTCCCTGCAGACAGCTCAATGCAGGTGAGGCGCACACTGAGCCTTTCCAGGAGGACCCAGTGTCCAGGGTACAGCGGTCACCTGCATCGGGAGAGCTGGCCTCCACTGCACAGCCTGGTGGAAAGCCCCTGGGACAGAAGGCACTCCAGGAAGTTCCTGGAAGTATGTCACCCGGCACCCAGAAGCCTTTGCTGGGCCCTCGCTGGGGACAAAAGTGGATCCTGACCCACTGCTGGGTGTGTTGTTGGCTCGGGTGTGTGGTCACTGCCAGGACGCAGGCAGGGCTGTGGGAGGTGGCTGCAGGTGTCCCACTGGGGACTGGCAAGGGCCCTGTGACCTCCCAGTGTCCTGCAGTCACATGGACCGCCAGCATGGGTAGGTGGGGGGGAGGGACAGTGAGGAACGCTGCTGGCTCTGACAAGCAGCGTCGGGGCGGTGGTGAAAGAGCCTGTTCTCCCAGTGTGGAAGGAGGACGGTGTACTCTGGCTGCATACCTCCAGACAGGCGCTGGGATCGTTCTCCATGGCTAAAACCAGGCGATCAGGAGACAAGAGGGTGCAAATGGGCAGAAGCTGACAGGCTCGTTGTCGTCAGTCACTGAGTGAAACTGCTGCCGCTGGAGAGCCCTGAACGCCAGCTGGTTGACTCCCGCTGCCCTCCGCCTGTAAAGAGCCCTCACGTGGCCGCAGAGAGACAGACCAAGGCATCTTACTGGGTCAGTGAGGGTGAAGCGGGACTTCCAGTAGGCGAGGGGGCGGGGCTACCACAGGCCAGAGGTGGTTCGGCGAGGCTTCCAGAGGAGAGAGGGGGGGGGGGGTGGGGGGAGGGGTGGAGCTCCCACAGGTCAGGGGGCAGATCTGGGAGGGCCATACCAGTCAAGTGGGTGGGGCAGCCAGGGTTACAGTCGCTATCCTGGCTCTGGGGTGTGCTGGTGACAGAGGAAGAGGAACACTGTGAGGAACTGGGCTTCCAACAGCAGTCCTGTCACTGACTGGCCCGGAGGAGAGGGGACCCTGATGAGCAGGCTTCCTGGCTCCAGGCCGCTCAGAGCAGGGCAGCAGCAGGGTGGGCTGTCTTGTCATGATTTTCCCCCAGAGAATAGCCCAAGAGGCTGCAGCCTGGGGGGGTCTGTGCCCTGTTACTGCGCTGCCCCCTGATTGCTCCAGGCCCACACAAGGGCGCCCTGGGTGGGCTCTAAGCTGAACTGCTGAGGGACCCTGAGTGCAAGACGCTGGGTGGGGGGAGGGGACCCTGGGGGCCACTCTGGGAGAGGAGGTCTTGGAGGAGGGGACTCTGGGGTTGGTCACGCTGGGGAGGAGACTGTGGGGGAAGGGACCTCAGGAGACAGGACCTTGAGGAAGGGACTGGGAGAGGGACTCTGGGGAAGGGGCCCTGGGGCAGAGAACCCTGGATAAGGGGACTCCGGGGGAGACCCAGGCCCAAGGACTCTGGGGGAGAGGATTCTAGTGGGGAGGGGTCACCCTGGGGGAGAGGACATGGGGGTCAAAACCCTAGGTGACGGGATTGTGAGGAAGATCCCTGGGGGCCAGTTCAAACGGACCAGGACCTACGACGCACCGCACTCAGCGGCAGGCGAGGCACTGCGAGGTGGAGGCCCCGACCTGGGGTCAGCCCTGCCAGGGTGACGGGGGCGATGGACGCTGGGGTCAGTTAGTGCCCAGCTAGCATGGGTGGAGGTGAGGAGCCAGGAGGCTAGTCGTGGGGCCCCGGGGCATAGGGCAACGTTCGGTCCCCCGACCGCCCCAGCCCTGCCCCGGGCGCAGCGCCCACTCACCGGGCCGGCGCCCGCGCCCCGGACGTCCGCGTCCCCGACGTCACACCCCGTCGGCGAAGGTCCCGCCTCCTAACCCTAAATCTCCCGGGGCATTGGCCGAGTCCTCAGGTGGCCCCGCCCCTCGCGGCGCTGAGGCTGCGCATTGAATGCGGCGGCGGCGGCCAATCGGAGAAGCTGTTGCTGTGAAGTGGGGCGGTGCTGCTGTTGGCCGGAAGCGGAGCGCAGCGTGGGCTGCTGAGTCGGGTGAGTGGAGGGACTTGGGGGCCCCGGGGCGGTCAGTAAGTGGGAGGAGGGCTGCCTGGGGCAAGGGTCGTGAGCCACCAGCGCCGCATGCCAAACCCGGCGCCTCACGCGCCCGCTGTCTGTTCACAGGCGGCGCCATGGGCATCCTAACTGGAGTGACCCGCGGCTTGGTCCGGGGAGCGGACCGGATGAGCCAGTGGACGAGTAAGCGCGGCCCGCGCACCTTCTACAAGAGCCGGGGCGCCAAGCGCACCGGCGAGCACGCTCCCGGCCACAAGTTCGTGGTCATCAAGGAGATGGTCCCCGAGTTCGTGGTCCCCGACCTGACCGGCTTCAAGCTCAAGCCCTACGTGAATTACCGCGTCCCCGAGGGCCTCGACACCCCGCTGACAGCCAAGGAGCTCTTCCTGCAAACGGCTGCTCCCGCGATCGAAAAAGACTTTAAAGAGGGTACATTTGACCCAGAGAACCTGGAGAAGTATGGATTTGAGCCCACGCAGGAAGACAAGCTCTTCCAGCTGTACCCCAAGAACTTCGCGCGGTAGGCAGCAAGGGACTCCCCGGGGAGCTTTGGAAAGGTCCAATAAAGCTGCTCTTAACAGCGTGTGTACTTTGTGAAGTAAGAGTATGCCACCCATAGGTTACACCCCGCCCTGAAAGCAACTCTGGAGGTGAACAAAGCATTCCCAGCCTCCCCCCAAAAAAAAAACGGCTTGAGGAAGAATGCAAAACCAGTGAATAGAATTATGGTACAGATTCATCCATTACCCCTACCCCAGTTCCTCAGTACAGGGTTTTCAAAGCGACTGATTTTAAAAGTCTGACCATTCTCGAGGCAAACCTGAAAGATACGGCCAAACTGGTAATTTACTGTCTCCTATTCTGGTTGCACTGTGGGTCAGAACCAGCTCCATGACACCGGCCATTATTTTGATGCATGCAGGTCTTTAATAGCTCTTAATCAGCTCTTATGTTAAACATCCTGCTTTTAAAAGGTGGACCTAGCCATCTTTAATTAAATAAAAGGTCATCAGCTGGAGTTGGTCATTTTTATTACATGGGATCCTGTCAACACCATCTAACCGAAATTGGCATGTCCCAGTGGGAGAACTGGTCAAACACTGCTAACAACCTTTCTGGCTGTCCACACGACAGCCATGGACCTCAGCAACGGCAGAGCCTCAATGTCATCCTCAGCTTTATTTGTGGAAATGAGGCTTTATGGGTCATCCAAGCAAGCTCTCCAGGTCAGCTCATTTCCCACTTCCAGAGGTGAAGCGTGTGATCGTAAAACAAGCACGTGGCTAGGAGGCTGATGTTCGAGCCGGTGCCTTCCAGGACCGGGTCACAGTCACCGGGCTTCCCTGCGACATGCTGGAGCCTGGCTTGTGACGCATGCTCCTCTCCATCTTCATCCCCCACTGTGCTTAGGGACTTCAGGCCAGATATCACATCTTCGGCGGAACAGGCTCCCGGTTCATTGTGGAAGGGTGTTGACGGGGCCTGCTGCTGGGCCTGTGGCGGCTTCAGGGAGAGCCAGGACCAGTCGGCCCCATAGGTCAGCGAGTTGAGTGGTGCATAGGACAGTGAGATGGCACAAGAGTCCGGATTCCCCTCTGGAATGAATCAACAAAGAGAAATGCACTCACCACCATGCACCCTGCCTGCTAATGGCCATTTCCTACCCACACTCACAAATGGGCTGTTGGCTCTCACAGAGCCAGCGAGATGTGGGGCCTGAGCTCTGTAAGACGGGGGTCAGAGACGAGTGTCGCACACAGTGCTGTGGGTGCAGAGAAGACACCCAGGGGGCCGTGCAGCATCATGCATGGGAGGGCTGTTGGAGCAGCAAGATTAAGACAGCGTGCCTGGAACCACAGCACACACAGTGGGTTAGTCGGTGAGGAGAGAGGGGTCTGACGGCACACTAGACCCTTCCAGACTGGGCTTTAGCTTGAGAGGTGTCAATAAATAGTTTGAGCAGAGTGACACATGACCACGTTTCTTCATAGACTGGGGTGGGACTGGAAAGGGGCCATAGTTCTGACGACTTAAGCAAACGCACTGGAAGGGAGTGAGTTAAACGGTCTTCAGAGCTTGGGAATATGCTCTCGGGAATTATCAACTGACATAACAGTTCACAGATATTCTATATCCTACTTTGGTGAGTAACAAAGGGTTCTCAAGAGCTTGTGAGCAGCCAAGTAAGGTGCAGCCGTTGATTTGTCACCGTCCAGGAGAAAGCAGAGTGAAGAAAACCAAAGCTACATGGAGATAATCGAATGGACCCCTCGGTCTCCACAGCCCTGAGACAAGAACTAGACAAGGGTATGTAGTAACCCTGCTGGGGAAGGGTATTGAGAGTACCATGAACGGCTGAAAGGACAAACTGATCTGTCTTGAGGAAGTACGGACAGGGTGCTCCTAAGAGGCAAGAGTGGCATGACTTTGGACATGTTAGGAGAGACCAGTCCCCCTGGAGAAGGGTATCATGCTTGGCACAGTGGAGGGGCAGCGAAAGAGAGGAAAGCCCTCCAGGTGATGGATGGCCACAGCGGCTGCAGCCATGTGCTCAGGCGTGGGAACATCAGGATGGCACTGGACCAGGCAGGATGTCATTCTGTGGTGCATGCGGGCATTATAGGTCAGAACCGACTCACTGGCACCTAACAACTGCTACCATTACCAACCCCTCTGAAAGAGAGCAAACAAAAAGACCCTGTATAATTTGGGGGGGGGGGGAGGCATGTGGATGTGGAACAAAATGATAAATGATCAACAAAGGCTTACTGTTCAGACAGAGAGACGGGTGGAACTCTCGAGTCACCCTTCAGGTCTGGAACAGAACTTGGCTCATGAGGGTGGTCGCCTAGCCAAGGGCAGATGGCGGCATGTCTGATTTCTGCCTTGTGGCAATTGGCCTTGGGTTTCTGTGGAGTTGGGTTCTCCCCTCTGTGTGTCCAGAGGGGGTACATGGCCCCTGTGCCGCGTGCCTCGGGGATACACAGTGTACTCGCAATCTCTGAGGCGCTAGCACTGTATCCTGGAGGTAACTGGGAGGCTGCAGGTGTGTCCGGGGCAGCGGTGCCTCGGGAGAATTCTCAGCTTGCGTGCAGGTGACCTGGTTGCATTCCTGGCCAGTACGCCTCATGCGTTGCTGGTGGTCAGCCGTGGCTTGCACGTGGCTATGAGGCTTTACGGTTTGTGCAGAGCAGGCAGACTGAGAAGAAATACCTGGCGATTGACTTCTAAAACGACCCTCCACACACTCAGCCAGTGACAACAGAGTGAACCACATTTGGATCGCACGCCACTGTGCACAGGGGCCATGAGCTGGGGTCACGTGGACAGCAGCTAGGAGCAGGACGAGAACAAAGAACCCACACTGGTTCTGCCAAGCAGCCTGCTGCTGTGAGTACACATGCCCACTAGCAGAGAGAGGCGGGCATGGGTGCAGCCATCAGTGAGGGCAGGGGCCCGTGTGCTAGCCTAGTCTTGCATCTTTTCTGTGAGTGGGCAATTTCTTCAAAATGAAAAGCTTTAGGAAATCCCATTTAGATAAATGGGAGAAAGAAAGTGAGGCTGAGGAACAGAGAGAAAAAACCCAGAGGGCCTGACTGTCAAGGGCACAGGAAAACGGAGGGGTTTGGGTAGGGGTGGCCGGTTAAGCAGAAGGGACATGCATGCACATATGCACAGGGACGGTGCCGGCCCACCTGGGCCAAGGAGCACACCTGAAAGGAGGGCAAGGCAGGTCGCTGACTGGAGCATGCTCTCTTCACCAGAGGTGAGAGGACCAATACATGGGGGCCTTAGGCGGGGCCCGCCCACCAAGGGCCAGAAGTGCCCAGCGGGGCTGAGGACCCATGGAAGCAGGTGCCACTCACCTAGGGTCTGTTGGCAGTTGATGATCTTGAAGCCGCTGTGCATGCAGGCAGCCAGCAGCAGGTGGGGGAGGGAAGGGTGCCACTTGAGCCTCCACACGCCACCCTGCACAGGTATGTCTGCCAGCGGCTGCTGCATCTTACGTGTGTCCCACAACAGGACGTGCTCATCATAGCTGGAACAGCCACCACAGCGCTTGCTCAGAAGCCTCTCCCAGGTGGGAGAGTCGCTTCCCAACCCCCTGCCCATACACACACGGTCCCGAGACCTTCCCACCCAGCAGGAACGGGCCCCGCCACTGCCTCACCTCCCCGTGGCCAGGATGTGCTCTGAGTGAGGGCTGCTCTGGATGCTGCACACGCCCATGGAGTGCCTGGGGGGGGGGGGGACACGGGATACACTGCTCAGGGGGGAGACTTGCTCCAACTCTTCCCATTGAGTGCCTGGGGGTGGAGGAACACTGCTCAAGGGGGACGACTTGCTCCAACTCTTCCCCTGGAGTGCCTGGGGGGGGAGACTCAGTGGACTGGGTGCCACTCGCTCCTACCTGACCCACGGAGTACCAGGTGCCGACCCAGTCTGGTGGCCCTGCAGTACCTCTTGCTGGTGAACAGAGGTGAACTGTGTGGCTTCCTGGTGTCCCAGCCTTTCAGGAGCCCATCATCGCCCCCTGCGTAGAGAAGGAAAGCACTGATGAGGGGACACAGTACTTTGGGGGTGGAAGGGGCCCTCAAATGACTCTTCCTGGGCATGGCCACCTGCCTCTCACCCAGGCAGGAGAACCCTGGACACCCCGAACAGAAGCCACTGTGCCTAGAGGGCCTGCAGAGGCAGGTGGGAGGTCTTGTGTCTGGCTGCCCGATGGGACCGTGGTTAGGCTGACCCATCAGCACACCTCCAGACATGTCTTAACGGAAAATGTCTGCGGTAGCCTGACCATGAAATGGGGTCTTGTGCTTGTCTGAAGTGACATGTAAGGATGGGAGGAAAGAACAGAGAGATGGGGTTCTGACCCTCAAACAGTCTCTGAAGGGAAGTAAGACTCAGGGTGGATAGGGGCATTCTGGGGAGGGGGAAGCCGCCAAAGATGTGGGTCCATAGGGAGGGGAGAAAAGCAAAAGGAAAGGGCCAGGTATGACGACCTCTCCACCTGCCACCATCCCTCCCTCTACCCACTCCTCATCCCCCCACCCTCTCACCATCCATCTCTCCACCCGCCACCATCCCTCCCCTCAACCCCCAGGTTCCCCCTGAGTCGACACCAGCTGTGACTTCCTAGTTCACACCTTGTGCTTGTATCAGACATTGTGATAATGTGGGAAACAGATGACAGGAAAGGAAACTGGCAGGGACTCAGACTGCACCCTGGAAACCCTGCTCTTAACAAACAGGAGCAACACTGTCCTAACAAAACCAGATATTGCACTTGTCCCAGAAAAACTAGAAAGAACCAAGAACACAGAGTGAAATTCACCATATTTGGAGACATAAGCAATATACCTTGGTATTAAAAACAGGCGAATAAGCCAAACATCTGATATAATGCTTACAACGAAAGAACGAAGAAGGAACACAGGCGGCACAGCACACTGCCCCGCTGAATGCGATCAAAGATGTAGGCTGCCCACCTGTGCCTCAGACCACCCACCACCTCAAGAAGCGGTCTCCTAGGCCTTGGCCGTGGGCCCCGCCTGCTGCCTCCCTCCCATGCAGAGCTCACCCAGAGCCAGCGGCCAGTGAGGGCAGTGCCCACCTGAGTACACAATGTCTGTCTGCCAGTAGTTGAAAGCTGCGATCCAAGCCTCGAAATGATGGGCCTGCCATGTGTTCTCTACCTGTAGCTCTCTCTCGGCCTCATGCACCTTCAGCAGGTGAAGCTTCCCCTTGGAGTCGCTGCTGATGATTTTCAAGGGCTGGCCATCAGTCCTAGAGCAGGAAAGCCCAAGCTCTTACTCACCTCTGGGTCCCCAAGGCACCTGAGGCTGAGGTAGCCTGCGGACCATGTCCATGAACTCAGTGGCCCTTAAGGTATTTGGCAAAGGCCAATGTAGCTTGCCAAATGAACTCAATGTCAGGTTCAAAATGAAAACATTGCTACAGATCTAGAAAGCAGGAAATGTTTCTTTTTAGATCGGAGAGCACAGTCCCAAGGCTAGGGAGTCACAGCAACTTAAGAGGACAATAGTTCTCTGGCCTAGAACCACCGGTTGCCCCAGCCCTGCCCTCACTACCTTCCTGTCTTCACAGTGGACCAGTCCAGGGACAGGGCCAGGCTCTGCTCGCCGAAAGAGATGCTGCCATAGGGCTGCAGCGAGTAGTTATTCTGGAAAGAAAGGAAGGGATCATCGTTGGGGCTGCCTTCCTTCCAGGGCCCAGAGGCCATTCCTCTAGCCCATTAAGTCAAAGCATGGCTGGCATCTGTACCTCCAGCAGTGCAGAATTTGAGGGGATGTCAGGAGCTCATACAATTTCCCCAGCCCCCCCTTCCCCGTCACTGACCTCAGAGTCCACCACGTGGAGCACCTGCACGGATCCACCAGCATCTGCCAAACCCAAGAGGGTGTGGTGAGCCACTGATACGTGGCACCTGAAAAGAGAACGTGCTTCGGTCAGAACAGGGATGGGCCATCACCATCCAAATCCCAGTGATTGATCATTTACATTTCAGCCCCCAAACTGAGTAGTGAAGCTCTGATTGGCTGGCTGCCCAACCAGGCTCTCAAGTCATGATATCAGCCACTGGCTGACCTTGTGGGCCAAGGCTAGCGGGAGCCTCAAAGTCAGCAGGTGGCCTGACAGTAAAACAGCCCCGGCTTCAGCCCATCCCTGCAATCAACTTAAAGTTTCCTCACTTTTCCCACTCCTGCCCTGCTTCCTGCTCCCATTCCTCCTTTCCTAACCCTGACACACAGCGTGTGTGTGCCAACTGTGGAATGCAAAGCTGGCCACCTACTGGTAAACCATCAAGTTCACGAGGAAAGTTAGTAAAGAAATGAGCCTGAGCTGCTGCCAGATTTAGCAACTAGCTAATGACACACGGCAAACTTCAGACCTGGGGCAGATTTATCAAAACTGTACCATTTCATGTCCAGGATGGCAGACATGTCTCTCCTTTGGATTTCCACCAGGGGGGTGGAAGGGTTTTCCTCGTTAAAGCTGTACAGGTAGAGGCGACCTAAGCGGGCTGGAGGATCCCAGTTCAAGCCCGCATCATCCTTCAAAAAAATGAAGATACATCCTCCGATTACTCTAATAGAGCCTAAGGGTGAGAGGTGTGCCAGGCAGCGGAATTCTCCCTGGAAGCAGTAGCCCCAGCTTCCTCGGTGTGGAGAAGTACCCCTCTCCTGGAGACAGATTCATAAAATGAACAGGTGAGCCTTCTGGAAACCAATATTGACCATGGCTTCTAAATCTGCCAACAGAGGTCGGTGCCAGTTAAGATGACCACAGGGGCCTGGCTTAAATCTTCATAGATGCCCACAAGAGCCTACGTACAGCACCGAAGAGACTGTGAGCTCCAATCTTCAGAACACTCCTATTCCAAGCCCTATTCTAGCCACTCGGCCCATTTCCCCCATCCTCCACGCCTGTATGACTCCACAGAGGGAAACGTGTTCCGTCCAGAGGACTGACATTTGCCGGGGCTTCGCCTCCCTGGAGCCCTCTGAGCTCGGGGCTCAACTCTCCAGCTCGGCCCACTGGCTCGGCCTGGGACTTCTGGCTCCACGCTCCGGCTTGGGCTGACTCTCAGGCTCATCCTAGGCCTCTCGGACCCGGTTGCCGGCCCGCACCTTTCTCATGCCGGGCCGGTCTTCTGGCTGCTGCAGCTGGTAGGTGCCACACGCCAATATGTGTCTGCAGCCTTCTAGCGGGCACCACTCGACCGAGTCCGCGGTGTACTCCGTGTCTACCGTCTGCAGCAACTGGCCGCGGGAGCCCCGCACTAAGCCGTCGACCACGACGTTATCAGCGATGTGCTCCCCGGACGCGGCCGGGGCAAGGCCAGAGGGGATGGCCTGGTCGGAGAGAGCGGCTCGGCGGGAACGAGATGAACTCATGCCGAAGGCCAGGGGCCGCACCGAGGGCCAGGAACAGGGCTGGGGATCGAGGTCGTGGCGGCAGGCCGAGCAAGAACCCTTAAGGGGAGGGAGCCACGGGACAGCCGAAGCCACACTTCCCTCGGCACCGGTCTACCAACTCCTTCCGGGACGCCAGGCGGGACTTCCGACTGCGGGAGGCGGCGCTTCTGCGCCACCTGCTGGCTGGCGGTAAGTTCCTCCACGTGTCGCCCTGGCCAGGGGCTGAGCCAACCGCCCTGTGGCAGAAGCAACTTGTGTGTGGTATGGTCTCACGGGGGGCGGGGTGGGGAGAAGCGGGCCCTAAAAGGCCTTCCAACTCCTGACCCGACATGTGAACCTCTCGATGTGGGGCAGGGCACTGAGATGGTAGGGGTTCCCAGGCCCTGAGGAGGAAATGGTATTTGGAAGACAGGCCAGTCTAGAACTTGCCCACCACTAACAGGTCCATGCAGGGAGTTTGGCTGCAGAGAGTGCTGTTGGGAGCCAGTGGGCACCTGGGAGCAGGTAGCCCAGAGAAGCAACAACCCATCTCTACTGGAAAGAGAACCCTGAGCTCACTCGGGACACGCCTGCTCAGTAGTAGCTCAGAGATATGTCTACAAAGACCCAGAACAAGGGAGGGTCTGGGTGTGGGAAACCAGGAGAAGCCCCCACCCCCTTGCTACACCCAGTACCACCCTACTCAAATAGGAGCTGGCCTGCAGCTCTGAGACTTCACAGCTTGGGTCACCGAGGCCCTGGCCACTTCTCACCGAGTACCAATCATCTTTCAAAAGCACCAAGGCTCACGAGGCGCTAAGCCTAGCCACCCAGTTACTCCTGAAGGCTAACAAGAGACCAGCATGCACACTGGGTGCTTCGTGGTCTTGGGAGTCCATTTGCAAGACCACCTAGGACCCTGTGCAATCCCCATCCCCAGCAGGCTAGCATTAGCTGAAAGGTCACTGGCCATGGAAAGAGTGGAGCCAAGTGCTGCTGTAGGCACAGCCTCCCACTCCAAGGAAAGCAGTCCTGGCCTATGAAAACACAGAGCAGCCGAGGCCGCCATAGGTTGCCCGGCTCTCCAACCAAGCTCCACTCTTGTTGCAATTGAGTGGATTCTGACTTGAGTCCACGTGTAGGACAAGGCAGAACAGCCCCGTGGGCTTCGGAGACTGTCGGTCGTCATGGGAGTTGATGGCCTGTGTTACCTCATGCAATTTGAACCACCCACCTTGGGGCTAACAGCCCAAGTAACCCACTGAGGTGACCAGAGCTTAGAAACTGCCCAGAGGGTGGCCCAAGGTGTTGCGGAAGCTGTCAGAAATGTCTCTTCAGGCCCCAAACCCCCCAAGGGACTGTCCCCAGTTAAGGGACAGAAAGGAGAGAAGGTGAAGGGAACCATGGCCTTGGAGGGTAGGCCTGGCAGGGAGCAACCCCACCCCACCCCAGTTCTGAGATGAGCATGCTGAGCTAGCCACTTTACGTGAGCCAAGGTGCAAAACAGTAGATGCCCGAGCCCAGAATGTTCCCCCTGGACTAAATGTTCCCCCTGGACAGCTGGCACCTGCTCCACTATCACCAAGCCTGGCCACTTCCCTGCAGACAGGAGCCGTTCAGAGGCCGGGTACACTGACCCAGGGGTCTTGAGACCCAGCAGCACAGGGTGAGGAGAGCAGTCAGGGCCGAGAGTTGAGTGATTCGCCCCTTTACTTTGTGTAAACACGACTTCCATGCAGGTGGCGGTGAGCGGGCACCAGGGCTCGACCCGCTTTGCACTGCAGGCTAGGGCATTTGCCCTGGGCCGTCTGAGAGGCGAGGCCCGCTTCAGGATCACAACAAACGGTTCTATTTGTGACTTCTAACCCTCCCACCACCTCCCCCCCAAAAAACTGTACATGAGTTTACAAACATATTAACATATAAATAATGGGAACGTCCTGGTGGCCTCTGCTGGCTCCACCTGAGCAGCGCTGGAGGTGTCTGTGCGAGGTCTCTGTGGCCATGGGCACTGCACCGGGCTGCACGCATCTCCTGGTCCAGCCACCAGTGTGTCCAGCGTGCCCACGTGAGGCCGGCTGCGGCAGGGCCTGCGCCACACGGTCACCGCTCAGGCTCCAGCTCCTGCTGGCAGGGGCGCTTCTTCTCACGGCAGTGCTTCTTGTGGGCAGGCCAGTCCTTCTGCTGGCACTGGGAGCCGCAGTAGCGGGCCACTTGGCACCGCCCACAGATGTTGAACTCTCGGAGCTGCAGGACAGAGTACACTGGTCACACACTGTCTGAGAGTGGAGAGGCCCGAGACCCCCAGCCCTGTCCCCGGAGCATACCTGCTTCTCAATCATGGTGCAGGGCGGGTAGTGGCACTCATAGTAGGTACAAGAATTCTCCTCCTCCTCCACCACATCCCCGTTGGCGTTGTAGTAGCGGGTGACATTCAGGACCGGGAACTGTTCCTCAATGGGGTCCGTGGGGAGCTGCTGGATAGCCAGCCAGTACAGACTCTGCTCCCT